AAAAAAAAAAAAAAAAAAAAAAAAAAAAAAAAAAAAAAAAAAAAAAAAAAAAAAAAAAAAAAAAAAAAAATCCTTAATTGCAAGCTTTCTGGCCCAAGCTTTCAGGCATAGGAGAAGAGATTGTGAGCACCCCTATGGAAAGGGTCAGACCACAGGAGAACAATGAATAGACTCCAGAAACTAGAAGCAATTCATACTGATCAGGGTTCAAACATACTAACAGTGCGGTGAGAAGACTGCTGATTTCAGTGGGATGAAAATGAGGCATTTTTCACTAGGGGAAAGGCCTATTTGGTACACACAGGAAAACATGGGAGCCCACAAAGAAACTCTTACTAGGGAAAAGAGAAAAAGTGCAAACTTTTTGGAACTATATTAACCTGTTAAGAGACTTCAAAAATATTCCAAATATGAGGAGGAAAAAAAGAGAAAAACATTTAATAACTAAGATTTTTCTTCCCTGTCTCTCATAATATCTTAGAAAATGGATAGGGGAAGGCATGGATAAATATTTTTAGGGTTTTCCTAATGGTTGATGTTTTAAAAGAACAAAACCTTAGGGCTCTGCTCTTTTTGTGCAGGGAAAGGTAAAAGAAATGGAAATGCTACTCCTTGGAATCAAAATCTATTGGACGAAAAAGAGTCAAAGCAATAAGGCATCATCAGGTCCTGAATCTTTGAAAGCCCCTCCAGAGAATGTTCTGTTCAGTTAGACTACCATTTCAGGTATCTCTGTGGCATTTATCAATGTAGTATTTAGTGTCTGGGTGAACATGGCTGAACAGCAAAGAGACAAACTGGAGAGTAACTGTCGTATCATGCTCCAGGAAACATGCAGGAACTTTTTAGCTAAATAAACTTGTTCTGTTGCATGAAATCCATAAACTGGGGAAGGTAGTTAGGTCCCAGCAGAACAAGTACAGTGGTAGACAGAACTAAAGGCCCCAATGAAACAAAGATTTCCCTGGCAACATCATGGATTAAGAAACTAGGACCCTGACCCATCAGTAGCCAGCACCCACCTACCTTGTAAAATTTGACAGAAACTCCTTTGTTTTAAGTTCATGGATTTTTCCACCCAGCATTAGCCCGCTCATGGGTTTCTCCATAGGATGTGATCTGGATCCAAGACAAAATCAATTTTAAAATGTAAAGTAAATGCACAAAGAACCCCAAAACAGATGCATCCAGATAGAATGTTGCTAGGAGCCAAACAGTTGGTGAGCATGACATTTCCATATTGATTAAGGATAGTTGTTTCAATAGTTGTTGTTTTTATAAACCCTCATGTTCCAAGAATAATAGGTCTACAGGGTGGGTTGGAGAGCTTGCATGGTAAACCGTTTCTCTGAATAGTAACTGTGAAAAAAGCTCTTCTCTCTATTTTTGAGATATTCAGCTATTAGCCAAATGGAAAGACTCCCCACTATGGGACAGAAGCAGACTTGATTACATAGAATTATATTTTCTATTTAATAAAATATGGAATACAAAACTGCTCTCTAGAAAGAACATCCGCGTGCAGCTATAAAACTCTTACTCCTGAATCCCTAGACAGGGAAAAACAACCCAGAAACAGAGCATTTTCAAAACCAAAATAGTCATCAGAGCCGCCCTTAGGGGTGTGTGGGGCCTGGGCCTTATCAGCCTGTGAGGGCTGGGGGGGAGGTGGCAAGCTCCCGGAGGGCGAAGCAGACACGCAGAATGCTGCCACCCTCAGTGAGGCCTGTACAGCACTGTCCACAGGGCCCCCCCAGAATGTGGGGCCCAGGGTAGTCCCCCCAATTCCCACCCCCCAAGGGATGGCTCTGATTCTTATAGACAAGCAGATTTTTCTCTGTGATATTCAGTAAGTGAGGCACAATCCCTAGTGTTCAAATCTTGTGGATAATAGACTTCTTTCACTGGTTTTGATTTATTTTCTTAAGTTTGCAGTGATTCATTAATAAGCTAACTGGATAATATTTAAGGAGCAACTGTGAGTTAGTAGTTAGAGCAGGTGAGGAGAAATTAGGTCTCTTGTATTCTGCACCTTACTCTGGCATGTATTTGCTGAGTCATTTAACCTCTTTGTGCCTCAGTCCATGATAAAGTAGGTCTCAAAAAGTAGTGGGGTAAGTGTATTGCTCTTTGAGATCCATTTTTAAGAGGCTCTGTAGTAAAACAGATCACTATCATAGATGAGGACAAAAATGAACTTTCAGTGCATTTTTATTTATTTGCCTGTTAATTCAAGTTATGAACTCTGGTTTCCTACTAATGAAAGGCCTATTTTTTAAATCACTGAAGTTTAAAATACATATTCCACTGGATATTTATATATCACTTCAGACTTTTTGACTAAGTAAAGACATTTGGAGTGGTTAAATCTGATTCAAAGCAGACACTTGATTTAAACTTAGCTCACCCCATGTCGACTTTATACTTACAGACGCAGTATCAGTGACAGGCCATCAGTCTAAACCTGTAATTGTACAGATGTGTCCATGGACACAAACTGGTCTAAATATTGCAGAACCTGGTTTAAGATAAACCTGGATCTATGTAGTATCAACTTATTCAATTTAGGCCAAACTGGTGCATGGTACTTCTGTCCACTTACCCTGCACAGCCCAAGGGCTGGGAAAACCCAGCCACTGGCCCCAGCCCCAGGAATGCTCTTTTCACCCCCTCCCTCCCCCCACACCGATTTATTGTTTGTGCTGCACCACCACTCCCTGCAACTAGCCAGTCCTCTCAACCCCCATCCCACAAGTCACTTTGGGTGAAGCTGCTTTTAGCATGCTGCCAGAACTGATGTCCCCAGATGTCTGTAGAATCACAGATCTGGAAGGGACCTGTAAGGGCGCAGCATGAGACAGGGCCACAGAGAGCCCAGGAAGGACCAGGGGGCCAAATTATAATAAGGCCCAGACCGAACAACATCAGTTCCATCTACAAGGCTTGGGGCGTAGTAAAGGGGTGGTTGGAGCCACACATAGCCCATAAGGCTAAGGTGCCCTGAAATACCCATTGCAGAACGGGACCCACAAGGGGTCCAGGAGCCCACGGGGTCAGAGTACAGCAGAACCGTGTCCAAGAAGATGTAAAGGCAGCCTCCCTAATATATATCTACCATCAAAGATGTGGCAGGCGAGAATCGAGGGTGCCCTTTGGGCCAACCTGGCATGGGAAGGGGGTTTTGGGGAGATCACGGC